AACAAGTTATCCTTTTTTTTTTTTTTGAAGAGGTTTTTGCTATAGGGTGCGTGCTCTAGCCAGAAAGACAGAGAGAGACAGATAGAATACAAGAAATCACCCCCAAGGGGGATGGCCATGCCACAATCCCTTCTCCTTCATTCTCCTCTCTGGATCTTGGGCACGCAGCACACACGCCCGGCATGAGTTTAAGCCACCAGGTCTGGGACTCGAACCGCGGTTGTTTACATGGGAGTTCAGCGACATAGACATTACGCTAACTGCTGGTCCTGAGTAAGTTATTGTTTAGTTGGTAAGAACCATTATAATTTGGGCCAGCAGGTGGGGTGGTTAAGGCGCTGGACACTCCCACATGGCCAACCACAGTTCGAGTCCCAGAACTGGTGGCTTGTTTTCTCACATTCCTTCTCTGTGTGTCTGTTTTTCTCTGGTCAAATGAAAATAAATGAATGAATAAATAAAGTTAAATAAATAAATATTTTAAAAAAACACTCTATTTAAAGAACGCATTCTACACTTTGTTAGGTGTATGAAGTAACTCTTCAAAGACAAGAAACTTACAATTTTTGCCACTGGAAAGGGTAACGAGGCGTTAGTTGAACGGAAGAAAAACTTCCCAGTACACAGCCTAGAAAAATCCACTTAATTTGAAACTACTATTGGGGCCAGCAGGTGGCGCGGTGGTTAAGGTGCTGGGCTCCGATAAGGCTGACTGCAGTGTGCTTCCTGGACCTGGCGGTATGCTTCCTTTCTCTCTTTCTGTCTGTCTCTGGTGAGCATGCGTACCCCGTGGCAAATGAAAATAAAAGAAAAATAAAATTAAATAGTCCTTTAAAAATACTACTAGTAATATAAAGCTAGTAATAGTCATAGATGAGGCATCAAAGTAAAACAGACAGGCTTACAGAAAACTTTCATTCTCAATCCATCCCCTATCACAGGCCTACATACGTACTTGGACTTTCCCGTGCCTATTTTCAGATACGAAAGTATTGCTCCCCTACGTCTACGCGAAGACTGCAAGCTCTCCTCATTGTTTGGCACCTGCCTTTTCAGGCATACTCCCGTTGTCAAGCGTATCTCCCATCGGCTGTTCTACAAAGTATAAATACATATGCATAAATAGTCCCGCTCAACGCCCACGCCTCCCCAGGCCCGCGCGCTCCCAGAGCCCCCTTCGCGGGCTGTTTCCGGCAATGCCTGTTCGAAAGCCCAGGCCGAAGCCACGCCCACTCCCCCATCTTGCCCTCCGGACGGGCGGCTGGGCGCCGGGCTCGACGGGCGGCGCCTCAGGCAGCAGGGCGGGCAGCCCGGCCTCCAGCGCGCCGCGGGCCTCGGAGGACCCCAGCGACGGCCTTGGCATAGGACCGGGCGGACGCGGCGGCCGCAACGGGCTCTGAGAGTGATTACGCTGGTTGTCCGCGGGAAGCGTTTCTCTGGTCTGGCTGATTGTGGTGCAGCGGGCACCATGTCTGTGAGCGAGATTTTCGTGGAGCTGCAGGGCTTTTTGGCTGCCGAGCAGGACATCCGAGAGGCGAGCCCCCTCCCCATCCCCTTTCCCTTTACTTGCCCATCGGGCCACATCTCCCGGTCCTCCTCCTCCGTCTCTCAGTCGCGGGCGGTGGGGACGCCTTCGAGGGTGGATTGCTTCCCCTGTAGTTTCAGGTTAGGGTACGCTCTCACGCCCCAGGTTACAACTATCTGTCTTAATTTCCTGTGTTCGAGTCTCAGCTTCTCAGCATTATCTTCCTCATCTGACAAGTGTCACTTTTCTTCCTTTTCTGCACTTGTTAATGTCCAAGACTTGGTTAGCGCCTGGGACTCAGCCGCCGTGCATTTCGTGTATTCGTTGTTGGTGTTAAAAGCTGTGACCCCTTTCTGCCCACCACAGTTAGGATAAACATCCAGACTCGTCTGTGGCCTATGTGATCTCTCTCCACTCTCGTTTTATACTATCTCTTTTTCTATATTGTGTTCAATTTCCTTTTTGTTTTTTCTAGTGCGCCAAAACAGTTTCCGGCGTCAGGACTCTTGCACTTACTGTTTGCTTTTCTCGGTCCCGTTAGTTTCTTGGTTATCTTTCATCACCGTCCTCAGTCTAAATGATCACATTATGGTTCCTAGTAGCATGTTAACTTTTTTTTTTTTATTTGTGTGGCGATTACTATTTTTAAAAAGATGTTTCATTTCCTCCATTATGTACTAAATTGCGAGGGGAAACGACTGTTTTCTTGCCTCCCCTGTAGTTCACAGTACCTGACCTATGAATGTACTCAGTGAATTTTGCAAAATGAATTGATGAAAAATAACCAATCTTTGTATTGCATTTAACTTTTTATTTTACAAGTTGCATTCGTATATGTCATCTATTTTAATTTTTATAGTGTCCCAGTTAGATACTTAGCTATGGTGGGTCACTTTTATCCTTTAAAGGCTATCAGAGAAAATAAGTGGAAAGTCAGATTTCAAACCTGATTTTTTTTTCCAGCAAGTTCCGTTCTTGTGAAGCTCATTAGTGTTTTGAGTGTGTGTGCAAAGTTGTGATACAGACCAGATATGCCGTTTAGTGCTTGTGATAATGAGTTTATGATAATAATTATGTTGACTTTATCTGAGTTTATGATAATAATTATGTTGAATTTATCTGATTTTAATTTTTAACTCTCTTTAGGAAATCCGAAAAGTTGTACAGAGTTTAGAACAAACGGCCCGAGAGATTTTAACTCTACTGCAAGGGGTTCATCAGGGTGCTGGGTTTCAGGACAGTAAGTTCTTTATATTCGCTTTTGATTTTGAATGTTTTTTCCCAATTTATCTGCCTCTTTAGCAAGTTATTTCCTGCGTAGAAGACATGTTAAGTCTGTGTCATTTTATTATGAAAATGCCCATTATGCTTGGTGAATAAAAGCTAGAAAAGTAGATGATTTTGTTATTTTATAGGTTTATAGTAATCTTTCTGTTTTGGTTGATTTTTTTTTTTTCCATTTCCACACAATGTGGGTTAAATAGGGATGTTTCTATTGTGATAGAATTCTGATAATAATTACAGTTGTTGAATAACAACAACTTAGTGAATCTAGTAACTTTTATTTGGCTTGCGTGTGTGTGTGTGTGTGTGTGTGTGTGTGTGTGTGTGTGTTTGATTCTAACAAATTAGTGATTGAATACCTTTTAATATGCGTTTGTAGATATGAAGTGATTGCTATATGGTGTTCTTAAATTAACGTATTTATAGTCAGTCTCCTGAATGAAAATCAAGTATGTCAAATGTAGGTATGTAACCTTCATTGTCCAGATGCAATTAGTATAGCTAAAATAATTGAGATATATTTTTAGATAAAGAATGATACAGTGATGTAATTTTTTGTGATGATAAGGAATTGGTAATCCTTATTGAATAATTGTTAAAGGCTCTTACTGGCCACATATGGGAGCTACAAGCAGTCTAATTTTAGACATCCTCTGAAGACTGAATAGGAGTAACAGCTATTGTTTTCTACCAATACGTTTCCTGAGGTATTCCCCAAAACATCAGTTTTTGTTTATTTTTCAGTATGGTTAATCAATAGAGAACCTAAAGATGGGAATTTAGATCCAGGTTGAAATGCAGAGATGTGTGCACTTGGTTGTGAGATTTCTTTGAAAAGTTGATTAATTTTCAGATAGACTACAAGATGATAAGCAAAAACTATATTTGGAATTTGTGAGTTTTTTATTATTGTGTTTGGTTATCTTTTTTTTTTTTTTTTGAGAGGTTTTTCACGATACGGCACGTGCGCTCGCCAGACAGACAGAGAGAGACAGAGAGACAGCAAGCGAGAAATCACCCCCCAGAGGGGATGGCCACACCGCAATCCCTTCTTCTCCATTCTCCTCTCGGGATCTTGGGCACGTACGCACACGCGCCCGGCGTGGGTTTTAAGCCACCGGGTCCGGGATGCAAACCGCTTTCGACTACGTAGGAGTCCAGCGACATAGCCATTACACTAATTGCTGGTTCCCGTATTTGGTTGTCTTTTGTAATCAGTTCCAAAGAGGTGTTTGAAAGCTCGAGAACATTTTGGAACAGTAAAAACACATCTAACGTCTTTGAAGACCAAGTTCCCAGCTGAACAGTATTACAGGTTAGTAAGAAAAGTATCATTTTCTAATGTTAAAATATATATATATGTATATATATATGTATATACTGAACGTTTGCTTACAACTAGGTAAAAATTTCTCTACATAGAAGAAACAACAAAAAGCAAAAGAAAGTGATAATGGTGGTGATAAATGGGTGATTTTATCTTTCTTTTTCTTTCAAGTTTCTTGGGTCAGCAGGTGGCATGGACATGAAGGTGGCTGGATCCCACATGGCTAACCTCACTGTTTGAGTCCTAGACATGGGAGCTTGGAAATCACACTGGGCATGTATGCATGTGTTACTGAAATCCCAAGAGGAGAATGGAGGAGAAGGGACTACAGGGGGGGCCACCCCCCTCATCGGGTAATTCTCATTCTCTCTCTCTCTCTCTCTCTCTCTAGCAAGCATATGTGCCCTATGGCAAAAAAAGAAAAAATGTTTAAGAACCATATATTACTTTTGTAATATAGTCATAAAAAATATTTTTAAAAGTCAGTTATTCATAGGGTGTGTGTGCTCACCAGAGAGAGAGACAGAGAGAGGGAGAGAGGGAGGGAGGGTAGGAGGGAGAGAAAGAGAAATTAAAGGGGATGGCCATGTTGTAATCCCTTCTCCTCCATTCTCCTGGGATCTTGGGCACACACACCTGTCTGGGGTGTTTCGAGCCACCGAGTCTGAGACTCAAACTGCAATTGGCCATGTTGGAGTACAACCATGTAACTACTATATTCTGGGAGCCATCTATTGACCCCCAAAATAACTTTTTGTCGTATTGCAGTTTCTTGTGAAATTGGATGAACTATATATTATAAAGGTTATGGGATTAGGTGACAGTATATATATTTGAGTCCATTTGTTTGTTACTATAACTGAATAGTTCAGACTGGTTAATTTTTCTTTCCTTTTTTTGGTAGAGGTTTTTTTGCTTTAGAACATGTGCGCTCGCCGGAAAAACAGAGAGAGACAGAAAGGGAGAAATCAACCCCCTGCCTGGGTTGGGGGGATGGCCACGCCGCAGTTCATTTTCCTTGATTCTTCTCTTGGGATCTTGGGCACACATGCACATGTACCTGGCGTGAGTTTTAAGCCGCTGGGTCCAGGACTTGAACTGCGGTTAACTACGTGGCAGTCCAGTGACTTAACTTACGTCATCTGTTGGTCCTAGACTGGGTAATTTTTCATTAATAAAATTTTATTACCTCACAGTTCTGAAGTTCCAAGGTTGAGGAGCTGTGGCCGGTGAGGGCATTTTTGATGGTGGAGATGCTGTGGAATATAGAGGTGGCGCAGGACATCATGCAGCAAGAGGACAACAATGTTAGCAGCTCTGGTCTCTCTCCCTTTTATAAAGCCACCAGGATTCAATCCTGGGGGGAAGTCCCACTCGAATGACCTTACTAATTCTTTCTTTCTTTCTTTATTTTTTGAGAGGTTTTCGCTTATAGGGCGCGTGCACTCGCCAGACAGACAGAGAGAGAGAGACAGAAAGCGAGAAATCACCCCCTGGGGGGATGGTCACGCTGCAATCCCTTCTCCATTCTCCTCTCGGGATCTTGGGCATGCACACACACGCGCCCAGCGTGAGTTCTAAACCACTGGGTCCAGGACTCGAACCACGGTCAACTATGTGGGAATCCAGCGACATAACCATTACGCTAACTGCTGGTTCCCTAATTCTTTATTTTTTTAAAGAATTATTTAATTTTATTTATTTACTTATTTAAATTTGACCAGAGGGGAACAGAGAACAGAGTGATTGAATGAGTGAGTGAGAGGATGAGAAAGCAAGCCGCCAGATCCAGGACTCGAACTGTGGTTGGCCATGTGGGAATCCTGTGCCCTTAACCACCATAGCACCTATGACCTGACTTGACTAATCCTAATTATCTATGAGAGTTTCCCCTCTTTTCCCCAGCATTATTACCATCGTTTTAGGGTTTTGGTTCAAGTTTCTACCCTCTTGATCCACCAGTATCCAAATTTTTTTTTTTTTTTTTTTTTTTTTAAAGGTTTATTTATTCTATGGCAGATGGGGGTGGGGGAGATAAGCACCCTCAGATGAGGTCCCCGTGTTGTGATATAGCCCTAACCAGGCAGGATCCCAGTTGTGTGCCCAGTGTGGACAGAGAGACCTTGGGGCACAAACAGAGACCTTTGCATGTGGCTTCAGCATTGTAGTGTGTTGTGTTACTGACACACCACTGCAGCTGTTTATTTATTCTATGGCAGATGGGGGTGGGGGAGATAAGCACCCTCAGATGAGGTCCCCGTGTTGTGATATAGCCCTAACCAGGCAGGATCCCAGTTGTGTGCCCAGTGTGGACAGAGAGACCTTGGGGCACAAACAGAGACCTTTGCATGTGGCTTCAGCATTGTAGTGTGTTGTGTTACTGACACACCACTGCAGCTGGCCCCAGTTATGAATTTTAATTTTTTTCAGTATCATTGTTATTGATTAAACTTTTGAGGCATAATTGCCTTTGTCATGTATAATCTTCAATTGTGAATTTTTATATTTATCAAAATTGGACCACGCTTTTCATGAATTAAACTTGTGGTAAATATATGTTACATTTGAACTTGTAAAAACATTTTTTTTTGGTAACAAGTCTTGCCATGTTGCGATCCTCCTGCTTTGCCCTCCCAGCTGGGACATGCCCCCATACCTTCAGACAGGCTCTTGCTGTGTTGTCCAGGCCAGCCTGGAGCTCAAAAGCCTCCATGTCACTGGCATTATAGGTGCATGCCATTATGCCTAGCCTTTAGGTTGGACTGGAAATCAAACCTGGGCCTTCCATGTGATTCCTGCCTGTGGAGCATAGCTTCTTAGCAGTGTGTGTCACAGTGCCTGGGCCGTGAACTTGTAAAATATATACTAACTCCATTTAACATACTGATTGTTTAATTACTTTTGGCACGTTCTATGTTTTGGGATGTCACATAAGATTTTAACTGAGAAAGGGCCATTTCTTTTATTTTTTGGGAGAGGTTTTTGTTATAGGGCGTGTGTGCTTGCCAGAAAGACAGACAGAGAGACAGAAAGTGAAAAATCACCCCCTGGGGGGTTGGCCATGCTGCAATCCCTTCTCCTCCATTCTTCTCTTGGGATCTTGAGCACACGCACCCGGCATGAGTTTAAGCCACCGGGTCCAGGACTCGAACCGTGATCAACCACATGGGAGTCCAGTGACATAGCCATTATGCCAACTGCTGGTCCCTCTTAGCTGTTTTAACATAACTACTAAACTCATTTTTCTGAAGGTCCCTAACCTCACAGCCTAAATGTGCTTGCTTTCATGCAGATTTCACGAGCACTGGAGGTTTGTGTTGCAACGCTTGGTCTTCTTGGCAGCATTTGTTGTGTATTTGGAAACAGAAACACTAGTGACTCGAGAAGCAGTTACAGAAATTCTTGGCAGTAAGTGTGGTCATTCGTGGTATCTGCTGTATCAGGCATGACTGCTTTGTTTTTGGTGGGAGGGACTGTTGTTTCTACTTTTTACTTATCAAATGGAACTAAATAGAAAACCAGTTTCTTAAAAAAACAAAAACTAAAGATGTGCAATGGCGTGCTCATTTGTGCTTTGGCATTTACTTTAGACTTTTTAATTTGTTGATTGATTGTGTGGTGTGTGTGTGTGAGGCACATTTTAGACAGGTTCTCCCTGTTGGTGATTTATTACTATTTCTAGCTCTCGAGTAACTGGCACTATTGATGTATGCCACCATGGCCAGCTCTTTTGGACAGGGTTTTGATACATTGTCCATGCTGTTCATGAACTTGCCACCCTTCTGCCTCAGCCACCTGAAGAGCTGGGACTCCAGGTGCACGCCACTGCACTTGGCTGTTTGGGTGGACTGAGAATTGAACCTGGGCCTCCCATGTGGCCTTATCCTGCCAAGCAGCAATGTCCAGCATATGCTGACCCGCTTTCAAAATTTAATGTTCAAAAATTTCAAGTGAATAAAAAAGTTGAAAGAAAGTGCAATGAGCACTTGCTTACAACCCACTTAATCTTTCACTTGTTAACGTTTCACCATATCTGCTTGGTCTCATGGTACGCATGCATATGTACCATTTGGAAGCTAGTTGCAGTTACTTTGACTTCTCCCTTAAATGCTTCAGTATATGTCTTCTAACAAGAAGAACATTCACTGATGTAACTAGAGACCATTCTTGCTGGTATTACTTTCTGAAAGAAAAGTAGAAGGAAAAATTGAATTTTGCTCAAGAGCTTAAAATTTACAATAATTTGCAATAAAGTCTAGTTTCCAAAGATGTGAATACATTAGGACACCAGTTTTTGAAAGATTCATCCTTTCTTCATTCACTTTTAGAGAAAATTTGTAAATACATTATCTATTTTTCAATAGGCTTAACTTAGATTTAGATGATGATTTTGTCCTTGTTTTGTTCTGTTTTTTTTTTTAGTTGAGCCAGATCGGGAGAAAGGATTTCATCTGGATGTTGAAGACTATCTTTCAGGAGTTTTAATTCTTGCTAGTGAACTGGTAAGAAGCTCAGTAATTTCTTGTTTTTTAAAGTGGTTGCTAAAATTAAGGATGTCTGAATTACTTTCTAAGCTGCAGGTCATCAGATAGTCACTGACTGTGCACTGTATACGTTATAATTTATTGGGATCAGACAAATGCCAGTTTATATGGTGGGGTGGCTGGGCATTTTTACTAATTAATGTGTGAATGTTTTTTTTTTTTTCCATAATTATTTAATTTTATTTACTCATTCATTTATTATTTTTAATTTGACCACAGAGAGACAGAGAGAAAGAGAAACAGAAAGTGAGAAAGGAAGTCACCAGATCTGGGACTCGAACTGTGGTCAGCCATGTGGAAGTGTCCAGCGTCTTAACCACTACGCCACTTGCTGGTCCCAATGTGTGAATGTTTAAAAGATGATGGGGCCAGCAGGTGGCGTGGTGGTTAAGTTGCTGGACAATCCCACATAGCTGATCACAGTTCAAGTCTTGGACCTGGTGCCTTACTTTCTCACTTTCCTCCCCTCTATCACTCCCTATCTGATCAAATTAAATGCATAAAAAAAAGTTAAATAAAATAATTCTTAAAAAAGAGTAAATAAAATTAATTTTTTTTTTACATTTCTTAAAGGATTATTTTATTTAACTCTATTTATTTATTTTTATTTGATCAGAGAGGGACAAAGAGAGAGAAGGGATGGGGGGCAAAGTGAGAAAGCAAGCTGCCAGATCTGGAACTCGAACTAAGGTCGGCCACTTTGAGAGTCCAGAGCCCTTAACCAGTACACCACCTGCTGGCTCCCAAATAAATAATTCTTATTTTTTTAAAAGAATTATTTAACTTATTTCGTTATTTCTTTTAATTTGCCCGGAGAGGGATGGGACAGGGGGAGTGAAGATTGAAAGCCAGCCGTCAGATCTGGGACTTGAACCGCGGTTGGCCATGTGAGAGTCCAGGGCCCTTAACCACCACACCACCTGCTGGCTCCATAAATATTTTAAAAGAAAAAAAAAAAGATGACAATATACGGTTTTTATTTTTTTTTTTTGAGAGGTTTTTGCTATAGGGCATGTGCACTTGTCAAAAAGACAGAGACAGAAAACGAGAAATGACCACCCAGAGGGGATGGCCACTGCGCAGTTCCTTCTCTTCCATTCTCTTCTTGGGATCTTGGGCACGCATGCACGCCCATGCGCGCCCAGCTTGAGTTGAAGCCACTGTCTCTGGAATTCAAACCGTGGTTGATTACTTGGGAGTCCAGTGACATAGCCATTATGCCATCTGCTGGTCCCGACAGTATACTTTTCTTTTAGAAGAGTAGCAAGACACATGTTCCTAGTAACTATTAATTCATGTAGTCTTTTTTTTTTTTTTTAAGTATCTATTGTATTTATTATTATTTTAAGTTTGCCATAGATCACGTGTTCATGAGAGACCGAGAGAGCGAGCGAGAGAGAGCGAGAAAATGAGATTTCCAGCCACCAGGTCTGGACCTTAAACCACAGTCAGGCATGTGGGAATCCCATACCTTAACCACCATGTCACCTGCTGGCCCTTCATGTAGTCATTTTGAAGAACAGTTTCCTTATACAACTAAGTTATCCTTTATCCTCTTAATCTCTTGGGACATTATCCTGTAAAATAATTATGAAGAAGAAAGAGAATGGACCAGCAGGTGGCATGGGTGTTAAGGTGACTGGATTCCACCTGGCCGACTATATGGTTTGAGTCTTGGACCTGGTGGTTTGATTCCTGAATGCGGTGGCTTGAAAATCACACTGGGTGCATGTGGGTGTGTGTGTGTACATTCCCCAAATCCCTAGAAGAGAATGGAGAAGAGACTGTGGTGTGGCCATCTCCAAAACACACTCAAATGTGTATGCCTTATAGCAAACCAAGAAAACAAAAACAAAAGCTTATATTGGAGACTGTATAGGAGAGGGTGGATGGTGGAAAGTGAAAGGGAGAGGTTCAGGAAAAAAATACATATTACACAAGAATGGACAGTTACATGCTCAGGATGTATATGATAATGTCTTTGACTTGATTGACTTGCAGTGCACGCGTGCTTTGAAAAACCATATTGTATGCTATAAAGACACAAAGATTAAGAAAGAAAAAGGACTTTGAGTAGTAAAGTAGGTGTGTGACAGAGACTGTACAGCCTACAGTGGTGAAGATATTTCCTGTCTGGCTCCATAAGAAAAAGTGTGCCTGTTCTTAATCTAGTAGAAAGCAGCCTGGGGTGGTTTGATGATTTCCTCTTCGCCCTTGGCTTCTAGCTTGTAGCTTCTCTCTCATTCCAGAGCTATGCTCTGGCTCTGACCATTCATATCTTCATTCCACCCAGAAGGAGGAGGAAATCCAGAAAGAGGCAAAGGACATTTTTTAAAAGCTGTACATAATAGCTTTTGCTTAATATTCTAATGCCTTGTTTGTATGGGAGGAATGAAGTCTATCACGTTGAGCATGTGTGCAGTGAAAGTTTGAAGAATTCTCAGTAAACAGAAGAAAGAAAAATTGAGGAAGTATCACTGAGGAAGATGGGGAGAATGGAGACTGGGAGGCTGTACACTGGCAGGCTATACACTTGCCTCAGTTGTGGGAGACTCATGACTAGAAAATTTGAAGCACCTCATTGGTGGTAGTTGTTAAGTATGAGGTGTCTTTAAGACCGCATGTGTTGGGATTGCTATTAAAGGAGCAGTTTAGAGAAGCTTGGAAGAGGTAAGATTTTATGGAGAAGGGGGCTCTTGTGTTGGGGTGAAATAAATCCCATCTGTCCTGCTTTAATTTTAGCTTACTGCCTGTCTCTGTGTTAATGGTTGTAGGTGACTGGAGTTGCAGGTCAGTAAGTAGATTCTAGAAAAGGGCTCAGTTGGCCTCGATTCAAAGAAACAGAACTGTGGTTACTCTGCCATTTCATTATTCTGTATGAACGAGTTGTAAGGTTGAGACTTGCATGATTTAGCACACTTTACTGCACAATAGTGTGAGAACTTAGAGACGTTTTAGGGGATGTTAATATATGAAACCCTCATTTGGTAGCACGTGTCATTTTCACGGAGAGTCTTTCCGAGAACCTCCTGTTTTATCTGTGTGTACAATGTGCCCTGAGATAGAACATTAGTGTAGCTGTGGAGGCCTGTGCTTTTTCTAGTGAGTGGGAGGAAGCCATGCTATAAGGGGCCATGTTGTAACACACCCTTTTCTCTTTTTTTAGTCAAGACTGTCTGTCAACAGTGTGACTGCTGGAGACTATGCCCGGCCCCTCCATATCTCCACCTTTATCAATGAGCTGGATTCTGGGTTCCGCCTTCTCAACCTGAAAAACGACTCCCTGAGGAAGCGTTATGATGGCTTGAAGTATGACGTGAAGAAAGTAGAGGAGGTGGTCTACGATCTCTCCATCCGGGGCTTCAATAAGGAGACGGCAGCAGCTTGTGTTGACAAATAGGAGGCTCTCCTGGCTCCTGGCTGTGCTGAGCTCAGCGGTTTGCCAGGGAGGGCCGAGCACAGAGTGCCTCGTTTGGTAGTTAGGATGCCCAGTTGCTAAACACTGCGCTTTATTTTCTTAACCAGTTGTGTGGTGTGAAAATCAGAATTGAAACACTTTTTTGGAGGTAAAAAATTAGCCTTTACATGGACAGAATTTTTGTTGTTGTTGCAGTGAATTTGCTCTGTAATTCAGTGTACTTCAGTTTTGTTAAAAGTATAAATGTCAGTCTCTTGGTAAAGTTCTTTTCTTGCTTACCCTGACTGTTGCTGTATTGATCGACAAGTTCATAGTATTGGTTGTGATTCTTTCAGATGTGAAAGTTTGATGTTTTCTATATCCAAGTTAGCCATTTATACCCAGGTGTAGCCTGGGTAGAGTATAAAAATAGATCATTAAAAAGAATGGTTACCAAGCAAGGAAAACTTATATTTTTCTTTCCTTATAGCCGTGGAAGTAAATCTCACATTGAATTTTTTTGCCAGAGGAGTTACAGCCCTGGATTCACTCTCACTGCCATTAAAACAAAGATGAAATGACACAGTCAAGCTCAACAGATTATTCTGGAAAGCTTTTATGTTAAAGGGTTTTAGTAACACCTCTCATTTGGTTCTGCTGGGTGGGGGGTAGGACTTAGTATTTTCAAATGCTCTGCTTTTTGATGTTGCCTGATTGTGCAGTTGCAGCAACAAAAAGTCTTCATACTCATCTTGATCTAACATTTCATATGACCTGTTCCTAAACTTCAAAATGTTTTCCTAACAGCCAGCTAGACTGTTTGTTCTGAGTGGGCAAAGTTGTCCACTTGAGTTAAATAGCAATACTCCCTGACTGGTATGTTCTTAGAGAACAGTGCTATACTTTGTCTATTGATAGAAGAAAGCTAAAACCTAGGATTAAAAAAAGTTCGTCTGGGACCAGCAGTTAGCATAATGGCTATGTCGCTGGACTCCCATGTAGTCGACCATGGTTCCAGTACCAGAACTGGTGGCTTAAAACTCATGCTGGGCGCGTGTGCATGTGTGCCCAAGATCCCAAGGGGAGAATGGAGAAGGGATTGAGGCGTGGCCATTCTCTCTGGGGGGTGATTTCTCGCTTTCTGTCTGTCTGTCTCTGTCTGGTGAGCACACACGCCCTATAGCAAAAACCTCTTCAAAAAAAAAAAAGTTCGTCTGATCTTTTTTTTTTCCCGTAGTAAATTTGTGATTCTTGATGGCTGTCCCGGTAGTCATGTTTTAAAGTTATAGTATGGGGTAAGTTGTGTAAATTTTATTGGCACCTGTCCCTTTCCCATTTTCAGATAGTACTAAGAACACTTGCCAGGTAACTCTTGCTCTTAAGTTGCAATTGTTAAAATGCTGACTTTAATCCACAGTTATTTGGTGTCCACTGAAAGAAAGGTGCTACATTTCTAGAATAATAAGAACTATTTAGAAGGATCACCTTTTCTTGATTATTACCAGTTTGGGCCTCCTGTTTGTACGACTCTTCAGCGTTGTCCTCACAGCTTTTGTCAGGCCAACTTAAAGGCTGACTACATTTTCTGTTATGAGGAAAAATGTAGACATAGGTGCATGAGTTGCTGTGCACTGTTGGGTTTTAGAATAGTTTTCTTGACAGCTGTTTTCTGTGGTGAGTTTGTAGAAAAAGAAAAAGGTGTTAGGTTTTTAAAAGTGCCTGGGATGGTCACTTAAAATGTGATTTAATAGTACTGCCTGGTTTGTGCATAAAATGCCTTTTAATAACATAATCAGACATAGGCACAGTGAGTTTGGTGGTAGTTTTGCCTCTCGGTATTGACTTTGCTTGAGGATCTTAGAGTTGTTGATTTTAGTTTTAACAAATGCAATTTAAGTATAGGAGCACATTTTGGTCTTGTAATTTCAATAGGGAATTTAGAAGTGTCATGTTTATAATTATTCAGTTGTGTTTGTGGTTGGCTTGTTACAAAGCAATAAAAAAACCTTTTTTTTGGACTTTTTGTAACTTAATGTGCTGCTGTGATAACTATTGTATATAGAGAGTAAATACTGAGTATTTTTTGGAGCCCCAGAAGACCAGGAGTGATATGCACATACTGTTCTGTAATGGTTACACTCACCAAGACCCTTAGGGTTCTGTACTGTAAAGTGCAGGTGACATTTGTGTGGTCTACCTTGATTGGGGACTTCAAAGTATTTTAACTGAAGATATTGAGAAACTGGCACTGGCTTTAGTAAACCAGAATTACTATTTTCAGCTTTAGAAAATCAAGCAGGTTAGGGCGAGTAGACATGAATTAGAGGATTCTTTTGTATAGCTTTATTTATAAGAAGAGGACAATCAGCCATGAATTTGGTGAAATTTATTCTTAATACCTGAATAGTATGAGTGATGCTTAAGAGAAGTTAATAAAAAAGGAAATTCTTGGCAGTGCTATGAGATCTTAAACAGGTAGATAAAGAGATGAAACAGACCCACACTCCGTTACTGGCATAGTTTCATAATTGCATACTCAGAAATTGTCTTGCTTGTGTCCTGGTCTGGACTGCATTATTTGTCCCTCTTTAGGGACAAAAATAATCTGTCCCTAGATAAAGCATGATTACTATGCCTGACACCAAAATAAGAATTTTCTTGAGCTTTAAATAATTTATTTTCTTGAGCTTTAAATAATTTATTTTCTTGATATCTTTTTTTTGTGGGGGAGGAGAGGTTTTTGCTACAGGGCACGTGCGCCCGCCAGACAGACAGACTTTTCTTGGTATCTAATTGGGACCAGCAGTTAGCGTAATGGCTATGTCGCTGGACTCCCATGTAGTTGACCACGGTTCACGTCCTGGACCCAGTGCCCTAAAACTCACGCCGGGTGCGTGTGCGTGCGTGCCCAAGATCCCGAGAGGAGTATGGAGGAGAAGGGATTGTTGTGTGGCCATCCCCTCTGGGGGGTGATTTCTCACTTTCTGTCTCTCTGTGTCTGTCCGGCAAGTGCACACACCCTATAGCAAAAACCTCTCAAAAAAAACCCAAAAACACAAAAAACAAAAACTCAATGAGGTAGCTACTACTGTTTCTCCCATTTTAGATATGGCTTGCAGAAGACAATTTATGTGATAGGAGTTTATAGCTGTGAAATGGAAGAACTGTGATTCAAACTCAGTTGCTCTGCCCTGACTTTCACATACACTGTTTTTTCTTGATTCTCTTCCGTGGAATCACTCCATAGCCTGACAAGGCAAAAATCAAATCCACAAGTAGTTGATAGTACACAGTGCATGTAGAACTTTAGGCTAGCTGCAGTTTGTTATAAAATTAGCATAACTAAGTGAGAGGTATAATAGGTATACAACTGAACCTGCATGGGAAAGGCCCTGGGTTTGTCCTGGCACTTCTGTAAGCATGCCAGACACTCACATGCCCATGATCCAGGCTGGCTGAGACTGGGGTGGATCATGGCTTAAAAACCTTGTTGGGAGTTGCTGTCTTTTTTTTTGGAGAGGTTTTTGCTATAGGGCATGTGCACTTGCCAGAGAGACAGAGAGAAAGCGAGAAATCACCCCCCAGGGGGGATGGCCATACTGCAATCCCTTCTCAATTCTCCTCTCGGGATCTTGGGCATGCACACACACGTGCCTGGCCTGAGTTTAAGCCACCAGGTATGGGACTCGAACTGCGGTTGACTACATGGGATTCAGTGACGTAGCCCTTACGCTAACTGCTGGTCCTGAGAATTACTGTCTTTCTCTTTCTGTCTCTCACTTTCACTTTCTCTCTGGGAAGAAATAAATGAATAAACTTAAAATCAGTGGGGGACTTTACTTCTTGTCCTCAAGATGTTTTAGATCTAGTTGTAGGTGAGAGAGTGGTAACAAAAGAATACAAAAAACAAAAACTCAATGAGGTAGCTACTACTGTTTCTCCCATTTTAGATATGGCTTGCAGAAGACAATTTATGTGATAGGAGTTTATAGCTGTGAAATGGAAGAACTGTGATTCAAACTCAGTTGCTCTGCCCTGACTTTCACATACACTGTTTTTTCTTGATTCTCTTCCGTGGAATCACTCCATAGCCTGACAAGGCAAAAATCAAATCCACAAGTAGTTGATAGTACACAGTGCATGTAGAACTTTAGGCTAGCTGCAGTTTGTTATAAAATTAGCATAACTAAGTGAGAGGTATAATAGGTATACAACTGAACCTGCATGGGAAAGGCCCTGGGTTTGTCCTGGCACTTCTGTAAGCATGCCAGACACTCACATGCCCATGATCCAGGCTGGCTGAGACTGGGGTGGATCATGGCTTAAAAACCTTGTTGGGAGTTGCTGTCTTTTTTTTTGGAGAGGTTTTTGCTATAGGGCATGTGCACTTGCCAGAGAGACAGAGAGAAAGCGAGAAATCACCCCCCAGGGGGGATGGCCATACTGCAATCCCTTCTCAATTCTCCTCTCGGGATCTTGGGCATGCACACACACGTGCCTGGCCTGAGTTTAAGCCACCAGGTATGGGACTCGAACTGCGGTTGACTACATGGGATTCAGTGACGTAGCCCTTACGCTAACTGCTGGTCCTGAGAATTACTGTCTTTCTCTTTCTGTCTCTCACTTTCACTTTCTCTCTGGGAAGAAATAAATGAATAAACTTAAAATCAGTGGGGGACTTTACTTCTTGTCCTCAAGATGTTTTAGATCTAGTTGTAGGTGAGAGAGTGGTAACAAAAGAATAAACAAGTAGGTTAAATATTAATATTTGAATGCCTGGTATTTTTTATATATATATATATATGTCCAAGACTCAGACCATGGTCAACTATGTGGGAGTCCAGTACCTTAACCATCATGCCACCTGCTGGCTCCTGTTTTATATATATTTAACAGCTTTATTAAAGCAAATTTTATGTATGAAATTGACTCAAATACATGATACAGTGACTTAATTTACCATGTGGTAGAACTATCCCCATAAATCAGTCTTAGATTATTGTTATTTTTTAAAGAATTATCTTACCTTTATTTTAATTTGACCAGAGGTGGGGGGGGGGTAGGGAGGGGGGGAAGGAGAGAGAGAGAGAAAGCCACCAGGTCTGGGACTCGAACTGTGGTCAGCCATCTGGGAGTCTTGTGCATTTAACCACCATGCCACCTATTGGCCCCTCTTAGATTATTTTTATCTCCCAAATCATCTCTGCTCCCACTGCCAACTCTAGGCAACCACTGATCTATCTGTAAGTTTACCTTTTCTGGACATTTCAGACAAATGGAATCTGTACATGATATCTTATATGACTTTTTACTTAGCATGATTCTTTTTTTATAATTATTTATTTTTTATTTATTCATTCATTTTTTTTTTTTTTTAATTTGACCAGAGAGCGACAGAGGGTGAGAGTGAGAG